GGAATGCGCACAAGCAAAACGAAGTGAACTGGAGAAGGTGAGTGAGTCAACTCTTCATGAGTTGAAGTATTAACTAAGTATTTATAGTCAGGCAACAATAGGCTGGGCATGTGATAAGCGATAAAGCATCCACACACAATCAATCCAATATACAATAATCGATACTGTAATCGACTTATTACAACCACAAAATTATGGTCGATACAATTATCGAATAATTCAAATGAAAGTACAATGAAGGGATAAATGATGAGATGCTATAAACTATCAATACAGTTTATTTTTTTGTTTTTATCATACATTATCATTTTCATCCATATTCCAAACGTTTTAGCCTATAAGCATGTTATTCTGACATCAGCAGAATAGTCGGTTACTGATGAAGTTTTCACAGATCCAGCTAAAATCGTGTTCTTGAATACTCATTTATTGCTCATTGAGATATTACAAAAGAATAAACGAAAGTAATCAGACCACAAATTTCAATTAAAACACTAACGAGTTCAAAGTTCTTACTAATGGTTTTTGAAAGGAATAAAAGAAAAGATGTATAAGTTGTCTAGTGATCAGTCACGGTTTAAGAAAACCAATTTTTTAACAAAGCTATGTAAATGTTATCCTTCTACAAAATCCTGAAATTATTCTTTACAGAAAAGTAAAACTTCTTAAATTCATCACGATGACCTTAAGATGTTGAAGCAATGGAACATTCAAGTAATGAGTCACTGAATTAAAAGACAGTAAGTATCCCAATAATTTTCATGCTACTCCTACCGAAGTAAAAGTGAGTCAAACGTGTTTATTTAAACAATGAATACGCTTGTTCAAATGAAATATTGTTATAAAATAAATATGAATGAGAACATCACTTTATTTCTATTGTAATATGAATTTAAATAATTCAATCGAAGATAGATATTTTATTTATTCAGTCTAAAATAATTTTTGTTATTAAATCAAAGTTCAAATTTAAATATAATAAGAAACTATTTTTTGATTCTTACAGTAATCTAATCATTTTATCAAAATATTTTGAATTCATCTCTGACATATTGTCTTAAAGCTTGTTTATATGTTTTCTATTTATTTTTTTTGAATATTTATAGGTTCACACTGTGTAAAAATCATTCAGCCATTGATCTAAAGCAATAATATAAATGTATGTGACAAAAGCCTAAATTTTTTTTAACAACAGAAAAATGGTTGAAAAAAAATAAACTTGTACGCTAACTCAAAGTAAACTGGAAAACCAAAACGAAATATGTTTGATATTGACAAAATAATCCATGAGACAATTGATGAACAGATTGAACGAACTAATCAATGAACGAATTACAGCCAGAGATAATAGAATATTAAATCGATTTCAAAAGGGAACAATAACCTTCATAAAGATTTCAGACTTTAATTAGTAAGAACGGATTGCTGGACACATATACATAGAAACTTATTTTAACCTTAAGTTTTCGAAGATAAATTGAATCGAACTCAGCTCCACCTAAATTATTTTTCCACCCTCACAATCATTCACATTTCAGTATAGTGAATAAAAGCCTTGTTTTTAATTAATTAGTTATGTTTACATGAGTTATGACCATTTTCACAGCAATAAATCATTACATACAAAATTTGTTTATTTTCGTTTTTTATTATAATAAGCTGTGACGAGTTCATTTTTACTATTATTCACCAAAAAGACTGTTAGATCCTAATGCACGATAAGGGTATATCTCATTTATTGATTAGTAAAAATACTCACATCTACAAAAGTATATAGGCTAGCAAATAACATGACATAAACACTATTATTAAAGTACTCAGCATCCAATGATAAGCCACATTTTACCGGTGAAAGCAGTCAATCATTTATTTCATAAAAACATGCCTTAACTCTAAATTTAATTTCAATAACTTCGATTTCGATTAATTCCCTAAATAACATTGCCTTAGATGTTAACCGAACTTCTGGGTTTTTTTTAACCGTGGTACTTGTATGACTTTTATTAAATAGACAATCCTTTTCGATAATTCCAAACTAAAATCCAAACTTTTAATAAACGTTTTTGTTCATATAAACCACTTTAAAGACATTACATTTATACTATTGCATGCAAAGTCAAAATGATTTAGATCTAATCCTCAAGGTCAAGCCATATACTCATTGATATCTTGCATGTTATCTTTTCAAACACATTTAATCAATGATTTCAAGTATACATTTAACATCACTCACATTTCCGATTGATTATCTACTTTTTTCTAACATTCTCTAATATTTTTGAAGATGAACTTTACTTTCGCGTAGTTATTCTTTTTCTGATTCCTAATGACCGTAGTCTTAGTCAGTCTTACTTCTTCTTACTTCATAAATACACGTGAATATTTTCGAAAACAATGTTACCAACATGACGTTGGCTGAAAATCTCAGTTCATTTAAAAGAAAAAAGTGAGTAAAATTTTTTTAAAAAAATATTATTAATAATAATATTAATAATGCAAATGAAAATTCTTAAAGTAAAATTTATTTTAAAGCTGTGCAACTCAGAAAATATTTCATTTGGCAAGCAACTTCCTTCGCTAAACTAATCATTTCATTGTCTAATCAACATATATATATATATATATATTTATTTATTTATATATAAATTATTTTTGTTGGTAGGCTAGTGTTTATAATAAAATTTACATAAAACATGACTTATGGAGAAATCTCTAGACTGCCAACACACCTTTCTTATCTCTAAATATTGATTAAAAGGATTACCTAACAGTAAAAAGTAACAGTAGCTTGGATGATCGATACTAGTATAACACACATTTATTTATTGAATACAAAGAAAGATGTCAGTCGTTCAGGATAATTCCTAAACTCTATTAAGACTATATTATTCTGAAGGCGAGACATCAGCATTACACCCAATTACTTTTTAGAATCACTGGTGTTAGATTTAAATTCTAATTTAGTTTTATAATACTGATAACAATAAATTAGTCTTTGGACTCCTTTTTCTAATGTTATTACCATTAAAGTAAGATTATTTGTGTAGTACTGTATCGTGATGATATGAGTATAATCAGTTTGGATATTTCTATTGTGAACCGGGTTTTTCAAACCAGCATTTTGTAAACCACCTAATAACTTACAAACAATCAACATCAAAGACCGTAATAACTTGAAAAAAAATATCTTATAAAATTTCAATGTCATTCATTGTGTAAATAAGCACTAGTATTTACTGTAGATTTACTTGACGAAATCAAATTTCAATTAAAGTTTTCTAGATTTAAAAATACATATATATATTCAAATGAACTGAAATAAATGCTTTCCACCTTACATCTTTTTCGAATGAATCAGTTTCATTCATTACTTAAGAAACGATATAATATTTACATTGAAATCATAATTAGGTCACTTAACTCATTTGACAATCAAAAGTTTTTGCTACTTAAAATATATTTCTTTTGTTTACAACAAACTAACCGAACCTGAATTATTTTTTTAATGAAAACAATTGCTAATCATACGGATAATAACACAATGAAACTGATGTGTACTTATCTTTTACCATTTTACTGTGGTGTATTAGTTGTTTTGTTATTTTAAAATGTGAAAAAATATTATTTTTAAATGATTGACCAAATGAAATAGTCAGTAAGATTATGGTTTTACATTTTCTATTCACTTCTGCAAACAATTATGAGCTTCATTGAATATTACAAATTTGGTGAGGTTTGGTTAGATATGAAATTAATTTTATCGTGAACAAACTTTACCCGGCGAAAAGATGAAAACGTTTATTGGTCATCAGAACACAACTACGACGAAGCTGATAGCAACGGATGTGCCCAAGAAACCAGTGTACCTACAGTTGCCTTTCAAGGGTGATCATTGCATGAAAATTACAACCAAACAGACTGCAGCTGCAATGAAAAAAAACCGTCAGTGCGGCTAATCTGAAGCTAATAACAACAACTCAGTCGATCTCAGTTACCCCAATCAAGTCTCCAAGACCGATTCAGTCCAAATCCCACTGTATTTACCAACTCACATGTAACTGCGGAGAAAGTTACTTGGGCAGGACGGATCGCCGATTGGAAGACAGGATAGGGGAACATATTCCAAAATGGTTAATCATATCCATGATTCATCAACCTAGCCCGTCATCTCAAAATCGATCAAGAAACCCAGCCTCGTCCATTGCAAAACATCTAATGATGAGTGGTCATCAAATTGACCCAAAATCAGCATTTAGAGTTGTGACATGTAATCAAAACCTACACACACTCAAACTACTCGAAGCTATCTTGATTGGTCGGAAAAGTCGAAACTTTATGTGTTCAAAAACAACTGTATGTTGACCTTTGTTTACCATGGTTCTAGTGAGTGAATGTCACGCTAAATAAGAAATTTTGACCTTATCTTCAAAACTGTATTTACACAAATAACATGTTGCTTGTATGTGACTGACGAGAAAGCACGAAATGGTACTATCTCACAAACTATGTCTTCTCATATCTCTGTTCAAAAGAAAGCTAAAGAGTAATTCTAATGTAACATTATGGTTCACAATGTTTAAGTTGTTCAGATTCTCTGGCAGAAATTAGACATGCGAACGGTTAATTTAGTCGTGAATATGTCGAATTTGAACCAGTGAACTAAGATTTTGTAAATTCATCGTTAATAATGCAACATTACTGAACGATATATGGTCGTTTGCCACCAGGTGGTCCATAATGCTAGCTACTTGGTCGTAGATTCTTATGTTCAATCCTATTTAGGATTATTAGTGGAATTTTGAAAGACTATGAATAACTACCCTACTAATGGTTGTAATGGGTGACTTTACAGTTGCCAGTGGTAATTTGTTCATAAATACTAATCATTAACCATATTTGTTTACAAATGTGAGCCAAAAAAAAGAGATAGAAAACCAACTTGTACAGTTTGATTCAAAATAATACATAAAAAGAAAATGAAAAACACTTTTCCAACAAACCTTCATTAATTGTATGCAGTTTTTTCTTTTCGGCAAATCAGTTCTATTTACAACATTATTTCCGAATTGATCATGCATAATAACTATGTACAATGAATGGTATCAATACAATGTGCGTATATTTACAAATTCACTATTAATTTTATCTTGACAATTGTCAATGGAATTTATTTCGCGTATACTAAGTAACATTCTTGAATAAATATCATGACAATTTCATTAAATTCATGAAAATATGATTCCTGAACAAATTATTTAAATAATGATTATTGAATAATTGTTAATAATTGAATTGACAAATTTATTTACAAATATTTCACATAAGATTATTCAAATCTAGAAATAATCATTATACATTGTATAAGTATCATATATAATAATAATAATTTTAGACTAAAATGTTTCCATTTTTTTTTAATTGTGATCTAATTATATTTATTCCAACCGGATAAAATAGTTTTATTGAAATTGGTCATGATATAATAATAATAATAATAGTAATGTTATTGACATTATCATTAACATTATTAACATTATTCTTTAGGAAAATGAATATTTCAGAATGATTCTACTTAGAGAGAGTAGTAAGACAAACACACCTTTAGACATTTTAGCTATTATTTGCCTTTATTGATAAAGCTAACTAATGTGAAACTAGATTTTTCCCTTTCAATTCACTTTTTTTTTTGCAACTTTAAACTAACTAATAATCCAGTTTATTTTTTCCTCTTTTTTAAATGATGTATAAACCAATCTCTTGTCAGTATTGTTCAATCATACATGTCTGTGTCACGTATATATATATATATATATATATATATATATTCTGTATGAAGTACATTAATGAAAAACTCATATATGTATAACTGTTGTTTGGTGGATAAGAACTAATTATATATATATATCTATATATATTGTAAATTTTATAGACATAGTACTTAATGAACTAATCATTAATTTTCATTTTTAGTACTGTCTAAATGAATTTCCTGTAATTACTCTACTAATTATCCCGTTGCATTAGATGTGAACATAATGTTCATTATGTTAGTAGTATAATTATTATTATTATTATCATTTTTTCTAATAAAATAGATAAATTTTTTGGCTGATTTCATAGAACATTTTGTTAAAATCAATTTTGTGTACTTATTTTTTTTTCTAAACTCTAGTGATATGTACATTTTGATACAATAATTAGAAAAATTCTTTACTTTTCATGGTTACCTAAGTAGTAGTCGGTGATATTTTTGATAAATGAATGCCTTGTTTAAAGATAAATCAATCCTTGTTTCCATTAAGTAGGGCGGTTGAAAAAGAAGGTTAATTAAAATATTTAATTAGTTGTTAAAAGGCAAATGAAAAAAGGCTAATGAACTGAATAAGTTTATAATTCTAACAAAAATTATTCACTTTTATATTTTATAGACTGTAGAAAGAAGATAATAGATTGTAAGCCATATGTTAATACTAAACATAGGCTTTTAGGACTGGTTACATATGGTGATAATATTTTATGCATTACATTTTCATTAAAAAAATGTCCCATTAATGGGAAATTAATACGTTCCACTCTATTTACAGAATAATTGTTTTTATGTTTATTCCAAGACGAAACCATATTTTTCTAAATCTATGAATCGATTTTTATTTCCATTTCGCTTAAAAATTTGCATTTTTGTATGATTATTGTAAAAGCATAACCAGTAACATTCTCTATTTAACGAGGTTGTGTTCATTTTTGTTAAGAAGCCTCAAAGGTATCGACAAGGAATAGTAGCTCTTTGAGAGATTCGTCGTTATCATAAGTCAGCCAAACTACTTATCTGCACGTTGCCCTCTTAAACGTTTGGTCCGAGAAATCGCTCAAGACTTCAAGACCGACCTACGGTTCCCAATTTTGGCAGTTTCCACCCTGTAAGAGGTCAGCGAAACCTACCTTGTTGGTCTTTTCGAAGACATTAACTTGTGCGCTATCCATGCCAAGCACGTCAACATCCTCTTACGTAAAATTTGGACCAGACTAGGTAGCCGAAGCCTGCAGCGGACAGCACAGAAGCCTCGCAATGCACATTTGGACAACTGGAATGTGAAGTTACTTTCCAAGATTCGTTATTTACTGGGTCATGTTATATAACTCCAGCTGATCTAAATTTATTTGTTCTAGATTGGTTTGACCGGCTAAAATTAGCTGATGTCCCGCATAACACAATATGCCACATGGTATCGCAACTACATGACCCTGAATCATTTACGAAGAATCTAATCCGCAGTTTTCAACCATTTTTCAATCTGCATTAGGTCGGTGTTCTGCCATAATTGTTAAGTACTGACAAGTGCATCATTATTACACAGCAGCTAGTCATGTTAACTTTCTAGAGACTTCGAATACACAAACATTTTCACTTAGTTTTCATCCCCTGAATAAATAAACCAGTGAGGAATAGTTAAGTTAAAGGTGTAAAGAAAACTTTTTACTTGATTCTTAAAAAAACGCCTAACATTGTATCCCTTCAATCTTACTGAAAATGTGGAAGGTGACTACAAAAGCTTCAAACATAAAACTTTGGATATACGACAAGTAGACGTTTGGGACAGAATTGCAAGTTACGGAGAAGAAATACTCTCACACTACATCCTATTGCGCATCAACAGTAAGAAAATTATTTCAGCACAAACTGAAACTGAAATTTTATCTTCATCGACTTGAATACCTGAAAAATCCAAGCTGATACCCTTTTATTTTTCTGTCAACTTAATTCAAATCAAGCGTTCTTGTAGAATTGTCTTGTTATAACTTCTATAAGGATTAGAATTCTCAATCTTTAAGAAATAAAAGAAAGTTCCGGAATAAAACTATAAAAAAACCTGAGATTGTAACAAAATAATATTGTTCAACGATTATTATTTAATATTTCCTTTGTAATTCGTAGTAACAGTTTACACAGATAAAACATGTTTGGAAAATTTTTCACGTGAATTAATGCTGTTTTGTTCAGTCACTGATTTCGAAATTTCATAGACGGTATTTTAGAATATTTGATAACTAAATGATTCGAAAAGTTTTTGCCTCTTGTTAATTATGTATGAAATTATTAATATATAAGTTTAACTGATAGTACATGAACGAATACTTTAAAGACCGAACATTATGCTTGCTAAAACATTTGAAAACCTACATATATTATACGGGATTGCACTAAACTACCATTTTGTAGCTATTTTAAAAAGTAAACGGTCATTTGTACAAATTTAGACTGATATCTTAGTATTTCGGATTTTCAGTGTGACCTTCTAATAATAAATAACTCCTCGAAGATTCTACTACTCATAACTAATATGAATATATTGAACTTTTCATTTAATCTATATCTTGGTGGAAATATCGATTTATTTTAAAATTTCACTCTCGTTTTGCCATAATTTCTTGGAACTGTAAGTTAAATATAACAGTTATCTTCTTTTTCCCTATAAATATTAATCTGTTCGTTCATTATTCATAATTGCTTTACAGACTTTGAAAGTTTAACCTACCGCATTCTCTCCTTATTCTCTTAATGGATATCAATAGTCTTAATTATGTTAGAGGACATTTCATGAAAACATTTTATATGCTAGTCATAAAAATGATGAACCTAAGTAATCGTGATTCTTAACTATACGTAGACAAATCTTCAATATTCCTGTTTTTGCCAGTTTTCAAAGGTTTATAATGCATTACACAAGAATCAAAAGATGTTTACATAATGTCAAAAAATATGGAATTCAGAATAAACATGTCGTTCTTGTTGAGATTGATCAAGTCTTAGCCTTATTATTTCTGTAGCTTTAAATGGTTACGAAAGAAACCAATAATCTAAAACATCACCACTTCACAGGACTAGATTGAAATCCTCTTCATCTGTACAAGTTATTCCTTAAATCAAAGGAAAAGAATCGCCAATAGTTCAGTGAAGAGGTTGCAAGTTGAGTTCATTTTATATTGTTCGCTAGATGCTTAAAATAATGAAATTTTTACTTTCAAATATACATATATATCATCGTTTACCACTTGTGCTGTAAATCGTTGACAGTGTTATTTTATTCAAAATTAATTTTATAAATGAAAGAATAATTTGTTTTTAATATGATATGTCGTTTGTTTGTTTTTTATGTGGTCAAGGTCGACCTCGTTGACATAAAATCTGATATTAATATTATTATTATTCACTTAATTATAAATGTCATTTATATAATTGCATTTGAGTAACTCAATATTTCGAATATAGCTCTATAAGGACATGATTTTGAATTCCATTTAATCAATGTTAATATATAATTCATTTTGTTTAAATGAAAGACTAGAATAAATACGGCGTTTATCGCTTAATGGACAACATGAAACATTGATCAATAGTCATAAAGTGGCAGCGAATGGGAAATGTGTACATCTGATTGATTACCATACTGGATTATATGAATAGTATTGTGAGTCAACGTTTACAATAATGTTGTAAATTGATGATTAAAAAAAGAAATAGGTACAAAGGACTTTTCAAAAGTCTAGAAATTATTTAGTGTACAAGTGAATGCATACTATTAGTTTTTTATAAATGAGAAATAGCTTATCAACAAATAGGTGATTTCATCAAGTACAATAATTATTCCAAGAGAACTAGATCTCGATACCATAGTTAGAATAAATTAATAAGACTTCACTAATAATATTCAAAGAAAGAATTAATATTTTGCATGCGAAATTCGAAAAAAAATATTTATTTATTTCATGAAGGCATATTTAGTGGAAATATACAAATCAATCATTGAACTTAAATAAAACAAAAACAATGTTTACAGAATACAATGACTTCATTGGATTTCAAGGCTTCTCATCAGCTGCAAATGGCTTAAACTTACATTTGTAATATTATAATAAAAAAATGTTTTATTACATACCATAATCACGAAAGTTTAGTTTAAACCATTATACGAAACAGAAAGGAAACAGCATATTTTTACCACTGACAGTTCAGAGTGATTGACATTTATGTGTTACAGATGAAATCA